CTCTCTCTCTCTCTCTCTCTCTCTCTCTCTCTCTCTCTCTCTGTGGCTGTTATAGGTAGACTGTGATGAGCATAAGGATCTTTGCAGCAAATATGGTGTCACTGGATACCCTACCATAAAATGGTTTCCGAAAGGGTCCCTGGAGCCAAGAAGGTGAATATTACTTCTTTTTTGAAGCCAACACTTTGCAATTGTGTTAAAATAAAGTAACTTTCATGCTTTTGCCTTTTTGTTTTTATTATCTTTTACTAGCATGCCCCATTTAAACTATTTCTTGTATTCATAGTTATGAGGGTGCACGCACTGCAGAAGCCCTTGCTGAGTTTGTTAACACAGAAGGAGGTAAGTTTTAAATTATTTGGTCAACTATATTAAGGTATACTCATAGTCATGTTTATGCTCTTCTAGTAAACATCTAGTGGGTGACTTTTTGGGCTTGCTTTTTTTATCTTGTTTGTTTGCTCCACAAGAATGCATCTTTGTGAATTCTTCAAGTCTTTGCACTGGTTTCTGCTAAAAATAATGGATTGAATGTCAACGATTGCCCTTGGGATTATATTCTAGACATGTGTATTTGGTGTTCTTGATGCCACTTGATATAAACTCTTCACTTGTCAAATAAGAAGCATATTACATGTGTTCTTTTTACCAGTGTCTTAGAATAGTATGCTGCAGTTCCTCTTGAGTGAAAATTATATGCTTGTATTTTTGTGCATGGATATGCATAGGAAATCTAATTTACTCATTATCTGTGGGGGTGATTATTTTACCAGGACATGATTGTGCTGGGATAGGAAGTTGTTAGCCACGTTTTCCTGGTATTTCCTTCTGATTTCCTTGCAAAAATAACCATCTCTGCTTAAAAAAAAATGCTTCAGGTTCCGGTTCCTATTTGAATCAGATGAAATGCTGCAAAATATCTAGCATAAATATTGTTGTGTAAGCTCCTTCTTAGATTTGAACAAGATGACACTGTAGAGGTATGTGTGGCCCCTTTTGACTTAAGAGATGAGCCGATATGTTTGTCTCTGAAGATCACTCAACCTAGACAAGTTCCATTTAATACATTTGTTAACTGTTGTGGAGTTGGAGTTGAGTTTCATTGGAAGTTGTTTTCCACATTTCTTTCAGCTTTCTTTTGGTTTCTTCAAGGGTAAAGAGACCTAGTGTGCTTAAGAGAAGAACCTGTGGTTTCATTTTGTAATTAAATCTTGGAAGCTAAAGAATTCTTGTAGTATCATCCAAATGTCCATCGTTTTGATTTCCATCTAAGGTACAGTAGTTTTTGAAAGTTTTGGATGATTAAATGACTGAAGATCAGTGTAGGAGAGGTTTAATGATGGTAAGATCACACACAACAAATAGTCATTCATTCCATTTTTCTTGTCAGGTATGGGTTTTCCAGACAAGCGATTTTGGACTTTGTTGGCTTTCGTCCTGGGGTGCCTAGTGTTGTCTTAAATGGTGATAAGTCTCTTCACAGTTAAGCTTGGTTCTGGAGTAGTTCTAGGATGAGCAGCCTCTTGGAAATTCCTTATGTCACAGAACATGCTTTCCCATAGAGTAGAATTATCATGGGTGTTTTGATCCTGGCTATTCTTGCACATTATTCAATGACAAAGAAATCTGGAATTCTTTTTTTTTTTTGAAATAAATTAAGCTGGAATATTTTTTTTTTTTTATAGTCATAAAAGTAGATTGGTAAACTTCAATTTAAATGAGTTTTAAGGATAACCCCAGAAAGATATATGCAAATGGTTCTGATTCTGGTCTTACTGGTGTACTTTCTTTGACTGGCTCTAGTTCATGGTATAGATCATCCACTTTGAAGCAAAAGAACTCATTGATAATAAGGGCCTCCAACAACAAAATGCTAACTCTAAATCTCCATGTTGATTCTCTTAAAAGATCTTATAGTTTTTTTCTTTCCAAATCAAAAGCTTGCCAAGGGGCCCATTTAATGAAGAGGTTTTTTGTAGGATAACCCCATGAGTCCCTCTGCAGATACTGGCAAAACTGGGAGGCATCAAATTCATTAGGGGAAAAGATCCCAGATATTGTGCCTTTAGGGACAGTGTAAAAAAAGATGGTGTGCATTGATTCTCATCATCCCAATACATGATTTAGGTGTTTCTAGTTATTATCTCTATTATTTTTATTGTGGACTTGAACACTTCGGAGTTAATGTTCTTTGTTGTTGATATGTTCATCCAACCAATTTGTGATTAAACCATGCAGCTAAATGGTATCATTTCCTTATTTAATTTTTTATATTTCTCTTATACAGGGACTAATGTCAAGGTGTTAGCCTTTCCTTCTAATGTAGTCATTCTAACAGAAGAGACTTTTAATGAAGTTGTCCTTGATGAAACCAAAGACGTTCTTGTTGAGTTCTATGCACCATGGTAATGGTTATTTTTCATTTTTTTGCCGCTAGTTATTATTTTGAACTTCTATCGCATGCCTATCAAATGGAAATATTATCAATGTTTTGAAACACGACTCGGCCAAGGTGACCGACCTGGGCTGAGGCAAATTGCTCGGCGAGTACTCATACTCACCCGAGTCTATTCCGAATTGAAAAAATAAAAATAATGATTAAAATGTGTACTATATATAATATAGCCTTCACATTTTGACATCAAACGTTAAATGGAATGTTGGCTTTGCATTTTGACATTGGGGCCTTCCTTTATGAGAGGTCATGAGTTCAATCCTTGTCATTTTTATTTGGGAACTCCCATCATTAAAAAAAAAAAAGATGTCTTGTGGGTTTTAAATATAGAAGTTTGCTGGTGAGGTTCGAACCTCTACCATACTGGAACATGTGCGTGGGCACGCACTACCCAAGGAGCCATTCCAGCGCATGTGACCTAAACTTCACATATTAGTATAAATAAGCTTTTCAAACATGGTGTACAGCCTACTTGCCCAAAACTTGCCGTTCCCTTAGGGCGAGGCCGAGTAACTCGTCCAAGTCTAAGTGGCTCAGCCGAGTCTCGGAACACTCAATATTATTATAATTATCATTATGCACGTGTGTGTTAATGTGAAACTGAGTGTTTCCCTATGCCTTCTCTATATGCGACCTCATCATTTTCCTGCTTCTGTTCTCAGGTGCGGACATTGCAAAAATCTTGCTCCAGTAAGTTGAGCAACATTTTCAGAAGATAGACACTATTTTGCTGTGTTTGTGCCCATTTAAGTGAATTTATGCTCTATCATCACTATTGTAATCCATGTAGCTTTTCTTATGCGATTTTTTTTTCCTGACTTTTCTGTGATGCAGACCTATGAAAAGGTTGCAACAGCTTTTAAGCTGGAGGATGATGTAGTAATTGCTAATCTTGATGCTGATAAATACAAGGATCTTGCTGAAAAGTAAGTTTACGTATTTTCAGATGACATTTGTGTTCAGAGTTGATCTATATATATCAGTGATTGCAAACTCAACCTAGTCCACCTGGTCTCACCCGAGTTAATCGGACTCGGTCCAGGTCAAGACGAATACCAGGTAAAAATCGGGGTAACTGAACAAATAAAAAATTATTAGAAAACATATTATATTGTGAAATCAATCTTTGTATGTATAATGAATGTTTTTTCTTGTTATAATATTCTTCTCTTTTTTTAGGAATTTTCTGAAATATTTCCAGCAATAGATCAGATTTCTCTAAATCCATGTTTTATATATTTTTTTCAATCTGTGTTGGACTTCGTATGTTGTTTTTAGTTTAGTTTTGTTTTTACGATCTTCTTTTTGTTTTTAACAAACTTCTTTAACTTGTTTATTTTCAGAGCTTTTTTGGTCCCATACACCCAGAGTTAGTCCGCTCAGGCAGGGACTGAGTCCCGAGCCCGAGCTGTGTTTTTGAACCTTGATGTATATTGATTACTGTGACATCACGGGTTTTTCATCTCTGTAATGTGAATCCAGAGTATTGAGATTGGGCAACGGTTCAGGTCTTACATGATACCCTTACATGTTTTAGTTAGAACCCTTAGGTGTTTCTGTTCCATTCTCCTTGTGCTCAGCACTATCAGCCCCCATATGTGCCAACCTCTTGGCAATGCTTGGCTTTCATAGGATTATGCTTTATCCCTGAACACTGAGGTTATGGAGTAGATATCCAAGACTGCCTTAACATTAGACCTTAATTCATAATTTGCTTTGGTATTTAGTGTTTGGGAATCCGTGAAGGCTCATTTCTAATTCTGCAGTGCGCACATTTGTGAGAATTCTATCATCTTCATTCTTCAGGTTCAGGGCGTACCAGTTCATACTTCATACCTTGATTCTTTCACCCTTATTTGTTTTGTTATTTTGTTAATGTTGACTTGCAACTAGAATTATCCTAGGTTGGGATAGATTTGTCCTTGGGTTTGTTGTGTGAACATAATATTTCTTATCATCTTAATTTATTAAAGTACTCTACCTTTAGAAACAAGAGAGATTGGTGATTTGTGAAAAGAGTGCCTGGGTGACCATTTCATATATATTCCTGATGCAGGTATGGAGTTAGTGGCTACCCTACTTTAAAGTTCTTCCCAAAGAGCAATAAAGCTGGTGAAGACTATGATGGTGACCGAGATTTAGATAACTTTGTGGCTTTTATTAATGAAAAGTGTGGCACAAGCCGTGATGGAAAAGGGCAACTGACTTCCCAAGTTAGTAAAAGATCATTACGAGGATTGGCATTTTTGTTTGTTTTAGAATGACTCTATAAATTCATGAAATGCTCTCTCTTTTGGCTGTGATAGGCTGGTACAGTTGCAAGTTTAGATGCCCTAGTGAAAGAGTTCGTTAGTGCTGCTGAGGATGAGCGAAAGACAATCTTATCTAAGATTGAAGAAGAGGCTGGAAAGCTTAGTGGATCTGCTGCTAGGTACTTTTTTGTATGCTGAGATTATCATATTGATTTGTTTCGCCTATGATTAAACTGTAGTTAGTTTAATTATAGGATGGTATGCCCCAGCACAGTGGACATGGACGGTGTTCATTGTACATATGCCATCCATTCACATTGATGGATAGTTGGGAGATTAATTCTACTTGGGTAAAGGTCCCTGTGGACTTAGTCCATTTATCTCCCGCCATCCATTAGTGGAGGGGAGTGGTGGATATAGCCCTGATGTACCATATACTGTATTCCATTTGATTGTGTTATACTACTATTGTTGTGGAAATTGTAAATTATCCTGTGAATGTGATGCTGTTTCTCTTCCTTTTTACCATTTTTTGGTTGACATAAATCCAGATTACCAGCCGTTGAGCTGTACTGATGATTGTGGCAACTCATGAGCATATATTTTTTAAAAATTTTATGATTCATGGAGCGTATTTTGTGCTTTAGTGTCATATTTGTACAAGTGGTCTTTGGATTCTCTCTTTCCCAAATATGTTTCTCGTTAACTTGACTTTTGAATTAGCCCACGTACAGAAGAGGTGCTCAAGATTCTTTTAATTTTTGAATTAATATACATGCAGAAGATCTGCTCAGAATTCTTGTTTTTTTTCTCAACTAGTGTACTTGAATCGAAACTCATCTTTCGGAATTATGTTTTATGTTCAAAACCTTTATCAAAATATGTATTTCTCTGGTTTAAAATATGATGATGTGATTATATCTAGTTTAATCCTTGTCTGGAAAAATGACGGTGCCCATATCTTCATGGATGTGTGCACCAGACACTAGTATAAAGCAGTAAATACCTCATCCTTGTATTTTTTAATAATTTTCTTTCAATCTTTATGTTATTGTTTCACCTGTTTTTTTTATTGTTCACGAATCTGATGCATCTGTGTACAATGGTTCACCGAAATTTCTTTTGAGTCAACCAAGCTACTTGTTTCAGGTATGGCAAGATCTATGCTAAGGCAGCCAAAAGCAGCATAGAGAAAGGCACTGATTATGCAAAGAAAGAGATTGAGAGGCTTCAACGCATGTTAGAGAAGGTGAAATCATGCTACTTGTGTTCTTAAGTCAACTTAAACAGAATAATGACCCTAACTTCCCATTTCTTCTACTTCTCTCTCTCCAATGCATAAGAGAGATTTAAAAAATCTGTAATTATTGTTTTAATGCGTGTGTATGACTGCAGTCTATAAGCCCATCAAAGGCGGATGAATTCACCATTAAGAAGAACATCTTGGCTACTTTTACATCATCTTCAGCTTGATTGGATCCAATTCCCCAGTAGCTCACAAAGTTCACTGAGTTTACTGTCTTTGAGGGCCCAAGGTTTTAACTTTGGCTTTGACATGAGCATTGTATACCCGTCTTCCTTGGTATGCTTAGTTTCTTTGACTTAATTTTGAGCAGAAATTTTTTTGCATATTTATACGGAAGTTGGAGTTCTATTTAAATTGATCATGATGAAATGAACAAAGAAGAGGGCTCAAAAAGCTTTAGAAGATATTCTTGAACTCATGGTACTAATAATAGTTAATATTTTCACTAATCGGTAGAATGGGGTATTTTCGTGGTAAGGACAGGAGAACATATCCATGGTTTGTCCACTTTGCACATTGCCCAGGATTTTAATTAATATTTTCACTAATCGGTAGAATGGGGCATTTTGGTGGCAAGGATATCACGGTTTGACCACTTTGCACGTTGTCCAGGACTTCTTTAATCGACCTGGGAAAAGCATGGTTGTTACAACCGGACGGAACCAGATCGTTAACTGGTACCTTGGTCGGTCTAGTCTTAGGTAAAACTCGGGTTTGTTTGGAAATCCGTTAAACTAATGTATCATCGGTTTTTGCCGTTAGGACACGACCAGCTAAATAATGTTGGGTATTTTTTATTTTTTTTTACATTTTATATTTTTAAAATTATTATATCAATTTTTTCTTTTTTTTTAAATCCAGTTCAACAATTTTAGTTTGTGGCTCGACCAGCTTTGATTGGATCGAACCCCTCACCATCTTGGTGGCTTGTTGGATTATATGATAATATTGTATTACAGCATTATGTTTTGGTGCATTTGTGGTCTTTCCATTCTATTTTACTGTATTTGCAAAAGATTATATGCTCCTGTAGGCATATGCGCCGCCCTTATGTAACTTATTTAGGAGTATCTTTAGGGCTCGCATTATGGGACGTACCCTCTTTAAGCGTTTTATGTACGCTTAAGAATCGGTAAAAGAATAATGGCTTGAATGTCAAGTCGTTCTAGTTTTGTATGGTCTTCCAAGTTTTCAGAAAGCTAAGATTTATTTTTCTCTGTATTTTTATGAAAAGTGAAAAGATTTCATGCTCCTGTGGAGCCCACTGTCTATTTGCTCCCTTGAGCAAAGTTCAAGCTTGGAATGGTTTTTGGATCCCAAATTTGGAAGCTGTGGTCTATAGAACTCAACTATTAACTCAAAGAAACAAAAAAAATTAAGTAGCAGTCTTTATTTGTGTACAAAATAATGATATCCCAAGATTGAACTGGAATTGTCCGAAGGTTTTGGGGAAAAGATCATGGGCTCTGAGTAATTCAAAATCTAAATTTTTTGTCTTAAAAATAATCCTCTGTGGTACTTGGATGGATCCCAAACTTTTGGATAAAAAAAGGGGAGAAAAAAAAATCTCCACTATGTTGCCTAAGGGAGTTGTTGTAGAGAAAAAAAAAAAAATTAGCTCAATAAAATACTACTTGAGTACTTGTGTAGGTCTTCTATTCGATCCAGGTCTGGTGGCCCCTAATGTAAAAGAAATTTAATTTCTTGTTGGGTTTGGTTCGGAGTGGCAATCGAACCTAGGGTGTAAAAAGGAAGAGCCGGACTGTTATTTCGTCTTTGTACAATGACCGCCCTAATGAAAATAAAAAATAAAAAAATCATCTCCATTATTCACCATAAAAAAAAAAAAGGGCAAAAAGTTACTCTAAACAATCAAATTAGAGCCCAACTAAAAAATTTAAGTAGAATAGGTTGTTTTGATGTCCAAATATCCTCAAATTGATCATCACAACATCAAGATTTATGGACATGAGAAAAAAAGTGAATTTCAAGTTTTAGAAATTGTGCATCTTGCAGCGTATTTTTGGACTGTCAATTTTCAAGATTTTCAAGTTTTTATAGATCTGCTCGATCTACACTATTTTTGAAGTTTTAAATTTGATAAATAAACATGAAAATATATTTTATGGCTATCACAAAAATTTCCAGTAGTGAAACCACATTTCTTGATACTATTGAAGGTGCACTTAGAGCTTCCGCTCTATGCAAACTGCACTCATAAATAAATAAATAAATAATAATAATAATAATAATAATAAAACGCCTCAAGAGTTTATAATTATAAACAAAAGTTAAAATGACATGTTTATTAGCCAAGATGCTTCCTTTTGTTCGTACTTGTTCTTGGTCGTGAAGTTTTGTTAACATGATTCCATATTTGACTTTGGAAAATAATATGAAAAGGAAAATCTTGCAATACTACGTAAATCCATCAAAAGCGTAAATTGGATGGAGTTTCTATAAGTCCTAGGATTTATGAAAATAAAGTAAAACTTCACGTCAAATCTTCATCAAAAAAGCATTTCGGATATTGAAAATCTCCAATCAAATCTTCATCAAAAAAGCATTTTGGATATTGAAAATCTCCAATATGGCTATGAAGTCAATTTCCAACACCAAATATAAAATTTGAAGCTCAAAAAATGGTTCAGATCTTGTGGATCCAATGGACTTTTATTTTTACGGTGAAATGGATAGTTTAGACATTGAAAGCAGTCTATGAGTCGGGGTGCACTTTTCTATATTTGCATCCCCTGAAGTATCAAACATCGATTGATGTGAAGTTGTGGCCCTTTGTGATAAAATCTATCGGTTCAAAAAATTTCTCCAAAATATTATATTTTTTTCTTTTAAATTTTGTCCTTTTTGCATATCAATAATTTACATGTTAGAGACAATATAAATCCAAAAACTAGGTCCAATTTCCATCCAAAAAATTGATCAAAAAGCAGGGCCAGATATCTACATGTGGGTCCTAGGACTCGGAAACTTTGTCCTTAAGATAAGGTCTTACAAACACTATTTTAGGGATTGAAATCTTAATTATTTTTTTTTCACAACCATATGGTAAAGGCCGAGATGATCAATTAGAAAGTTTTTCGAAACCAAAACCTTTTTTTTTTTGTGAGTTTTGAGGTGGGGCTTTACTTATTTTGATATAGTTGCAGCCCTTTCAAAACATTTTCTTTCAAATTTTGTTCCTTTTATCACAATTGAAAAACAAAGTCTAAAAGATCTTTAAATTACCTTTTATGAACAAAATAAGCATTTCAATAATTTGACCCCCAAGAAGCTCCAATTGAATAACAAAAACACCCATGCTTGTTCAAGATTAATAAAAAACACACTATTATTTAGCACTTAAATCCATATAACAAATAGCATAAATATTTCTAATTGTTCTTTATTAGGAATCCTGAATATAATTTCTTATTTTTAATTGTTATTCAATTATGATTTCTTATGGTTAAATTATTGAAATATCAAATTCTTGAAATGCCCCTAATTATTCATCTTTTGCATCCCTAAACAAGGACAATCTAATAATTTTTAATTTTTTTTAAAAAAAGATACTAAAATGTCAATAAAAAAAGAACCTCTCAAATATTAGAGAAAGCTTTCTATGTTCCCCTACAACATAGAAGTTCTATCATCCTCCTTATCCAACCGTCAATTTTTTACCGGAGGGCTAAGATTG